CCACCACGGATGAAATCTGACCCTAGGAGACGAGATCCCACCAAATAATGCAATTTCCACAAAGATATTGGTCATGAGACCGACGATTGCATTTAGTTGAAATATGAGATAGAGTACCTAATCTAGAGAGGCCATTTACGACACTATGTGGCTGGAGAAGGAAGAGAAAAGAATGATCGAGAGAGAGAGAGAGAGAGATAATTAGGTGGTCGTGCCACTCCCGCAATAGCACCAACAGGCCCTTGTCGAAATCAGGGTCATCTCAGGTGACCTTCTTGAGGTACACACCAAGAGGGTAAGATCAGATGACTTTCTTAAGGTACAAGCAATTAGGAAAGCCCTACGCAAGGATGTAGAAATACCTTTCTCAGATGTCGACCTAGATGAATGTCAGCGCCCGCATGATGATCCATTGGTGGAAAAGGCCATTATTGCAAACAAGGTTGTCCATAATATGCCGATTGACAATGGAAGCTCGACAGATATCATCTTCCTCTTTTCCTTTGGTCAACTCGGAATAGACAAATCAAAGCTCGAACCAGTAAGAACCCATCTCCTAGGCTTCTTGGGAGAAAGGGTCGTACTCATTGGTTCTATCCAGCTAGTTCTTACCTTAAGGGACCACCCATGCCAAGTCACCACTACAGTTTGCTTTTTGGTGGTGGACACACCTTCTACCTACAATATACTTCTCAGGAGGCCCTCCCTCAACTCCATCAAAGTCTTCCCATTGGCATATCACTTAGTTATGAAGTTTCCTATAGAAAACGGGGTTGGAGCGGTGAGAGGAGATCAACGCCTCGATAAGGAATACTATGAGGCAGAGAGAAGTAGAATCTGTTCAACTGGAGGACTTGGACATGAAGGACGAAGTGGAAACTTGACCAACCCCCTCGAAGTAGTTGGAGCTCGTATAAATAGACGAACTCCCTATACATGTGGTCTTTATAGGCTCTATACTGCTCCAAGATATCAAAGACAAGCTCATTCTGTTCTTGAAATAAAATGCCGACGTGTTCGCCTGGAAACAAAAGAATATATAGGGAATTGACCCAGGATTAATTGTGCACCAGCTGAGTGTTGACCTGAAATGCAAGTCGGTTAGGCAGAAGAGGAGAAATTTTACTCCATAAAGAAAGAAAGTGATTAACGAGGAGGTGGCCAAGCTATGGCGAGCAAAGGCAATCAGGGAGGTCGATTACCTGACTTGGTTGGCCAACGTGGTACTAGTCAACAAGGTAAACAGGAAATAACGGTTCTTTATTGATTTCACTTACCTTAATTGTGCCTGCCCTAAGGATAGCTTTCCTCTACCCAAGATTAACTTGATAGTCGATGCCATGACTAAACATGAGTTCCTCAACTTCGTGGACGCCTTCTCGGGTTACAACCAAATTAAGATGGATCCTAATGACTAGGAGATGACATTGTTCGTCATGGAGCAGAGAATTTTTTGTTATCAGGTCATGCCATTTGGATTAAAGAATACTGGAGTCACCTACCAAAGGTTAGTTAATCGGATGTTTCGAGAAAACTTGGATCGACGATGGAAGTTTACATTGATGATATGCTGGTCAAGTACCTCAAATCTGAACTTCATGTCCAGTACCTAAAGGAGTCGTTCGAGATCATGCACCGATACAAGATGAAACTAAACCCAACTAAATGTGCCTTCGGAGTCTCAGCAGGAAAATTTTTGGGATTCATAGTAAACAGTCGAGGGATTGAAGCAAACCCCAAGAAAGTAAGAGCAGTTCTAAAAATGAAATCACCCATCAACACTCGAGAAGTGCAGTGCCTCATCAGGAGGGTAGCAACACTCAATCGATTTGTCTCACGCTCCAATGACAAATGTCAGCCATTCTTCAAGGTTCTAAAGGCCGTCTTCCAATGGGATGAGAAATGTGAAGAAGTTTTTCAAGCCCTCAAGACCTATTTAATCTCATTGACTGCACTGGTTAGCCCAAGAGAGGAAGAAGTGTTAACCCTTTATCTTACTGTATTAGACTTTTTAGTCAGTGCCGCCCTGGTAAAAGACAGAGAAAAAGCCTAGCAGCCGATCTATTTTTGCAACAAGGCCCTCAAGGGGCCGAAGAAAGTATCCTAAGATGTAGAAGTTTGTCTTAGCCCTCCTCGCAGCAGCCAGAAGGTTGAGGCCTTATTTCCAGGCATACACCATCGAAGTCCCCACTGATCAACCCATGAGGCAAGTTCTATATAAGCCCAAGGCACCCGAGAGACTAGTGACATGGGCAGTAGAGCTCAGTGAGTTTGACATCAAGTTCAAACCAAGAACGGCGATAAAAGGCCAAGTGCTAGAAGATTTTGTGGCGGAGTTTACTCCAGTACCTAAAGAACAGATGAAAATTTTGGATTGTGTCTTTGACTTCCCGACGTGGAAGTTGTATGTGGATGGCGCTTCAAATGCGCAGGAAGCGGAGCTGGTTTAATTCTGACCTCTCCTGAGGGATATGTCCTGGAATACGCTCTAAGATTCAACTTCCAAGCCTCCAACAATGAGATTGAATACGAGGCTCTTATAGTTGGCCTTAACTTAGCCTTGTCGATGGAGGCGCAAAAAATCACTATCCATAGCGATTCACAGTTGGTGGTTAGACAAGTGGAAGAAGAGTATACAACTCAGGATGACAAAATGGCTCTATATGTAAGGAAAGTGCGAAGTTTGTTGAGGAGATTTGTTATAACCGAGCTTGTCCAAGTGCCAAGAGAAGCGAATTTCTGAGCCGATGCATTGGCCAAGTTAGCTTTAGTTGAGCACGACCTATCTAGTACAACTCCCGTCGAGATTTTACTTGAACCCAGTGTCCAACCTAACAAAGACCAAGCCATGCCGATTGAGGAGACCACTTCGTAGATGGACCCCATCATATCTCACCTACAAGACGGTTTCCTCCCAAGTGACAAGAAAGAAGCAGCAAAATTGAAGCCAAGAGACACTGTTGTGCAAGGTAAGTTATATAAAAGAGGTTTTTCCATTCCACTAATGAGATGTGTTTTGAAAATGGAAGCTACATCCTGAGGGAAATTCATAGGGGTATATGTGAAAATCACATTGAAGCTCGGATCCTAGCTGCCGAAGTACTCAGGCAATGATACTTTTGGCCCACGATGGCCAAAGACACGAAGGAAATGGTGAAGAAGTGTTAGGCATGCCAGGTTCACAAAAACTTGCCACGTCGTCCTCCAGAGCAACTCATACCTGTTGTCAGTCCTTGGCCCTTCCAACAGTGTGGGCTAGACATCTTAGGGCCCTTGCCAATTGGTGTTAGATAATGCAAATTTTCCATAATCACTAAAGATTACTTCACGAAGTGGGCAGAAATTGAAGCACTGACAAAGATAATTGAGCAGAAAGTTAGGAACTTCATCTGGAAGTCGATAATCTATCGATTCAACATTTCTAGAGCCATAGTTTCAGATAACAGAAAGTAGTTCGACAACTCGGGATTCACTGGATTTTATGCGAAGCTGGAAATCAAAAACTATTTCTTGGTACCTACACGCCTGCAATCCAATAGGCAAGCAGAAGTTACCATCTGAACCATCAAACTAGGATTGAAGACAAGGTTAGAAGCCTCTAAGTCACAATGAGTCAATCATCTCTCTACCGTGCTATGGGCTTATCGGACGACAGTACAAATATCAACGGGGGAGACCCCATTCAGCCTCGCTTATGGAATCGAAGTCATGACACTAGTCGAAGTCGGTTTGCCTTCAGCAAGAGCAGAACTCTTTAATCCCGAGCAGAATGAGAGATCACTGCTCGTCAACCTTGACCTCCTGAACGAGAAGAGAGACGAAACACTACAGCGGATATTTTCTTACCAAAGAAACATCGCTAGATACTACAACAAGAGAGTATAGAAGAGAAGTTTCAAGTCAGACGACCAGGTCCTTAAAAAATTGCTCTCGGCGAGAAAAGATCTGTCACTTGGGAAACTTGCCCCGAACTGGGAAGGACCCTACGTCGTAAAGAGAGTGGTCTGTTCTGGTAATTATGAGCTGCAGACCAAGAAAGGGAAAGACCTGCGGCATTCTTGGAATGCAGATCATCTTAAGCATTACTACCAGTAGGACCTTGGGAATCTACGTTAATTGTAAATTTTCATTCTTCAAATCAATGAAATTTCCCAAAGTTCTAGCCAAGAAAAATTTGCACAGTAAGAATGCAACAGTTCTCCAAAAGCCGCAGTTTTTCAGCCACGCAAATTCGACTAGACTTTATGGCCTAAGAGCTTTTTCAAGCTCGGAAAATAGCTTTTCAGCTCGAAAAGCCTTGAGCTCTTCAGCAGCGCAAATTCGACTAGGCTCTTCAGCCTAAGAGCTTTTTCAAGCTCCAAAGAGAGATTTTCAGCTTGGTAGAGAGCTTTTCAGCTCGGAAAGCCTCGAGCTCTTCAGCCGCACAAATTCGACTAGGCTCTTCAGCCTAAGAGCTTTTTCAAGCTCGAATGAGAGCTTTTCAGCTCAGAAAGCCGCAAGCTCTTTAGCCGGGCAAATTCGACTAGGCTTTTCAGCCTAGGAGCTTTTTCAAGCTCAGAATAGAGCTTTTCAGTTCAAAAAGCCGCGAGCTCTTCAACCGTGCAAATTCGACTAGGTTTTTTAGCCTAAGAGCTTTTTCAAGCTTGGAAGAGAGCTTTTCAGCTCAAAAATCTGTGAGCTCTTCAACTGCGCAAATTCGACGAGGCTCTTCAGCCTAAGAGCTTTTTTTAAGCTCGAAAGAAAGCTTTTCAGCTCGAAAAGTTGCAAGTTCTTCAGCCGCACAAATTCGACTAGGATTTTCAGCCTAAGAGCTTTTTCAAGCTCGAAAAAAAAGAGCTTTATCAGCGAGAGTTTCCAAAAGAGCTCGAAGCCAAACAGTTAGAATCAACAAAGTAAAATCCAGGCAATGATAGGAAAGAGACAATTTGTATTCATAAGCAAAGTAGTTACAATGGAAGAGGAGTACAAAACAAGAAAAAAAATTAAGCCCCCCTAGCATTTCATTTTAGAACAGAAATCACCTCCCTCAGACGGACATTCTCAGCCCTCAGCTCATCTTGCTCTTTCTCAACCTCGAAAAGCTGTTTCTCGAGCCTTGCCTTCCCTATCAAAAACTTCAACTCAATAGCTGTAAACCCCATTTCACTAGAGGAGGAATTTGATGATCGCGAGGATAGGACTCCCCATCGGCACTTCCGTGAGAAGGTGGCAGTATCCTCACACGACCTTCTCGGAGAAGAGTCCACATTGAGGAGGAGGAGTGGAGGATTATGAACAGCAATTGGAAGGACGGCTGGTTTGGGAAAAGTCCCAAACTGAAAAAGATTTTGTGTTGTGACAAGCGGGGATAAGGGAGCTGCCTTGGCGAGAGCAAGCCGATGAACCCTACTAAACTCGTTTGGGGTCAGAACGAGACCATTTGCACGATACAAGCACGGTTAAGACTGCACAAAAACTACCAAGCATAGACCCCCCAGGGTGAAAAAGAAACCCCTAAGAGCCATTATTCATTTACCTTTGTATAAAAGACGTCTCCAAGAATGGGAAACACGAGCAAGGTTAGTCCATGCCTTGGAGGATTCTCAGGAATCCCCAAAACCAAAGAAAAAACACTAGGTCCATCCCTCTAGAGGGCTAGGGGCATCAAGAACTGGTAGAAGCTCAAAACCACGCCTCCACGTGAAGAGACTAAAATAGGGGGGCATATTGAAATCGCTGCTAAAAAAATTCAGGAACTCGACAATGTTGGGAAGGTCACTGTAACCTTGCAAACGCCAGAAGATAAAAAAATTGATCAGAGTACCCCACCCCTCTAGGGAGAGGCAAGAAGGGCACAACCCGAAATGGGCAAGAACTTGCCCAATGGCCTGATGGATGGGCAAATGTAGACCCATCTCAAATGCACTTTCAAAGAAACAAACTTCCCAACAAAGGAGGAAGTTGCAAGGATCGCCTATCAAGAGAATTCGAATAGCCAAGCCACCGAGAAGGAGATACCATTTTCTGAACTCCTCTTCCTTAGGAACAGTAACAACGGAGGGAAGCAGAAACACCGAGTACCCAATTACACCAAGCATAGCTTGAGCCCTCTATTTGAACAAAGGAGTATGAGAGGAAGCCATGAAGCTCAAGAATAAGCAAAATGCACAAGAGACTCTTTAGAAAAATTGAAAATGCAGGAGAGAAGAGACTCCAAGATACAAGGAGGTAGATAACTGGCAAAGGTGGGTAGACAACTATTACACTCCTGCAATCATGGCAAAAGTTAATAAAGATGGCGCACACAAAGGTTAGGCGAAGTTAGGTGGGCACGAATAATGAACAGGTTATGACTCTTCACCTGAATTCGTACACCACGATTTAAAGACATATTACACCAATTGAAAGGAATAACTAGACAGAGCTAGCAATAGCCAAAGAGCCCAGATTCACATAGGTCAGTTTAGCACAACTCGCGATTACACATCATAGGATTATGGAGATCGAGCATGGAGGGCAAATTAGCAACCAAACTCCAACAAGGTCAAGACCTCCTTGGACTAGGGGCAAAGGGAGAACACAACAAGCAATTAGCAATATAAGAAACAAGTTAAGTGTTCTTCATTTCAGTAAACAAGAAGAGTTACAATTTCCAAAAAAAAAACCGTCAAGATTGGCTTGCTGGCGGAGCAACATTAGAAGGGTCGTTAGGGGGAAGGTCAAATCAAGGCTCAAATTGATCGAAGTCAAGGTCAGGAAAATTCTTGATCGCTTGATCTGTGAAGTTAAAGAACCCATCTACAAACGCCTTGGTAGCCTCCATCTTGGCCTTCTCAATTTCCTTGTGTTGCTCCTTAACCAACCGGTGCTCAACAGCTGAAGAGTTATTCAGATCAGCAATCACAACAGGAGATTCTCTTAGCTACACCATCAATGCTACCTTGTCGGTTTCAAAGGAGATCAGCTCTTCTGCTTGGAAGTTGAAATCATGCAACAATCAAGCCAATTCTTCCGATTGGGTTCTCAATTTTTCCTGCAAAGAGATCTTAGAAATAGCAATGGTGATTAGCTGCCGAAAAACTCAAGCTCTTTGATCGAGAATAGTTTCCAGCTCGGATTCTGCAGCTAAACCCCAATGCAAGAGCTCGGCACCCCATTGTCGGGCCTCTTGGAGCTCAGTACTCCTCTGACGAGCTTCTTCCCTTAGATGATGGACCTCCCCTCTAAGGGCACAGACGTGTGTCACCGCCTGATGCCAAAGTAGGAATTAAGACATTACAAAGTTGAAACAAGGGAAGTCAAAGAAAAGACAAACCCTACCTCGAGAAGTGCATGAAGGGCAACTCAACTCCTAGCTTGGAAAGGTCGGTTGATAGAGCGATGAACATCTATTGAGGGAATCAATTCTATAAGCGCTCAACTACTTAAAGTCACATCATCCAATAGGCTCCCCTCGAGATCAACAAATAGACCCAGAGTAGGCTGATCCGAGTTGGGACCCGCTACTCCAGCAGGGGAAGAACCACGCCGAACTGGTCCTCCTACTCGATCGCATGCAACTGTGTCCACTGTTGCTTCTTCAGCTCTAAATATTGGCTCAGACACCAGAACCTCCTCAATGATGGGCATGGTTTCAAATACCGGCGCTTTAACAGCACCAAGTAATACCTCAGGTGTGGGAGAGAAGCTTGGTGTTGGTGAGGCCATTGATGCCTCGGTAACAATAGGTGGAACCTCGGGCTCGGCAGCTGAGCTCGAGGCTGGGGTCGAGCTATCCTCTATTAGTCTAGCCCTCTTTCCCGAAGATCCTGGCCCCCAAGCTCGTCTTTTCTGGCCCACTTGTTCCATAATCACATCTCTTTGGCTGGTCAAGTACGCAAGAATTGAACAAGAAGGGCAATTAGGAAGTAAGCTCAGTTGAACACATCAAAAACAGTACGATAAGGAAAGAACAGCAAATAGTCACGATTGCTTAGGACCGAAGCAAGTTCGGGATACATTAGCTTAATATAATAAAAGGGCAACCGAGCTCGAACATGGTTAACCCGAGATTGTCTCTCTCCAGTCAAGATTGGGTACTCACCTACAACACAAAAGAATAAAGCCATAAGGCAAGTTAGATGCTAACTAGTGTGGTAGGACCAGATCAATAAAGAGGAAACTCACCAAGGTGACTACGCCTCCCCCAAACTGTGGGAATTCTGATTGGTGACATCATCTAGGGATCAAAATCCCAGCCTGTCCTGGATGTGAAAAAATACCTCATCCTCCACCCTTTAGGCTCAAAAGGGAGGTCAGTAATCAGAATCTCTCCACCTTGTCTCGGAGCAAAGTAATAAAATTTAGAAATTCCACCAGATGAAAGAAGTTGAGAAACTCTATCAGGGTGGCTCGACGACGAGTAAACATCTACTCCCACTACACAAGGAAAGCCAACAAAATCGCCCACCCAGCTGGAAGTAACATAGCAGGGCAAAAGTCGAAGAAATGCAGCACTTCTCTTGCAAATGAAGCAATAGGGAACCGTAGCCCCAGCTGGAAAAGGACTTCAAAAAAGCAAACCCAACCTCTCATGGAAAGATGATATAAGTTGCATTTTGTAGCACGAATGACTACCCCACTGGAAAAGGCATAGCGATTAGCAATCGCTTGAGCCTCGTCACTATCAATTTCACTACTTTCAACGTCGGGGTAGACCAATTGTTGGGTGTCATGGTAAGTAGTGGGTGTTTGTGCCATAAAGATAGAAGAAGAAAAAAAGTTGCAGAAAAGGAGCTTTGAAGCAAAAATTTGGAGCAAAAAGGGAAAAACTTCAACACCAATCTAGAAGAACCATTCACTGAGGGGACTATTTATAAGGACCGCTAGCCAGCAAACATCACATCTGCAGGGTGCCATTAATGTGTGTAAATCACATTTAATACCATTGACATATGGCCGTCATATGAGAAGTGGGCACTACTTTCAAGGAGCCCCTATCATCATTAACGGCGCACATTCCTAACTGAAAAGGAATGAAAAAGGTCCAAAATAGCATCAGCAAGCAAGATAACTCCAAACAACCCAAATCATCTCGGTAAAGGGGCAGCTCTGCTCGAGGCACCCAAGTCGCAGCACAGCATGAAATAGGCTTTGTTGACTATAACTTTTAAAAGAAACAGGAAAAAGTAACGACATACACATGCAAGAAAGAAAGAGTGGACAGGCAGGAAAGAATACTGAAGCTTTATTAAAAACCAAGAAAGTACATTAAAAAGGGAGCAACATGTACAGAAGTTTTGTTACAACAAAGGAAAGCTATCAACAGTTAGAAGGAAAATCAAACGGCAGTCTCTCTGCTCTCATTAGTCGCCCCAACAATGAGCTTCTTGCCTGCACCAACCTCCTCGGCCCAAAACACCTTGGTCCCAACCGTCTTGGCACCAGCTTTCTCAGTTCCAACCTCCATCCCCCTCCCCATAGGTCCATTCGAGGTTTCCTTGCCAACACTGGCTACCTCGGTAGTGGCTCCTGTGGATACTTTCGCCATTTTCTTTGCCCCAAGCTGTGGCACGAAGGAATCTAGGTCGAGATTAGGATACCTTCACTTGCTCTTGAAAGTTCATGAACCTCTTCACAAAGTCAGTTGCATTTTTTCTTTAGGAGTTCAGCAACCTTAGCCTTTAGAGACGCCACTTCGGCGTTCGACGCCACCAGCTCAGCGTTCTTCTTCACTAGATCTTCGTCCCTGATCTTCAACTGGTTATCCTTCAACTTGGCATATACCTAGTAACGAGTGTTCAACTCATCGTAGATCCTCTTCAGCTCGGCTACCTCGGTAACTAGGACAGACACCCTTCCTTTAGCAAGGCTTTTTCCAACCTCTGCAACCTCAGCAATGTTTATCATCCTTACCAATTTTTCCTCCTTGGCAGCCAACTGAGTTGCGAGCCAACCATGGTAAAATTCCATCATTTTCATACACGCCAATGACTATAGAAAGAAGAAGTAGTCAATATAAACAAGAGGTAAAAATACATCAAAAAAGATGCTCATATGAGGTACCTCAGCAAAGCCCTAGATGGCGTGCTTAGTCTTCCTCTCGAAGGGAACCCGCATGGGCAGCTCAGGATCCAATGTGGAGACCAACTCAGACAGAGCACTCATAGCTGCCTTCGGGTCACGAAGGAAACCACTACCCTAAACAATTGGTTAGGGAAGGCTAGGTTCACCCTTCTTTTCTTTTGGCAGAGATAATTGAGGGAGAACAGGAGGCACTATTGATGAAGAGGGCTGCTCTAGAGAGATCGCCTTCTTGATGGGCTCGGGGGGCATTGAGGAGGAGACAACACCCTCGAGAGAGGCCAGATCCTCACGTTTTTGCTCCAAATAAGTGAACACCTGCCCTTCCTTGGGGGCAGCTCGAAACTCTTCACCAGCCTCCTCCTTTTCTTCCTAGTCTTCTCAGCATCAGAAAAATTTGCCATAATAAGGTCTGGATCCATCCGCTCAAGCAGGTTAGAAGGTAAGGATCAGAGATGTAAGCAAGAGGCGCATTGGCAAGGGGCTCAAGCTCGTACTTGGCAAGATTCTCCTTAGTTACAAGGTCCAGAAAAGACCTTAAGCCAGAAGCTTCTACCTTGCCTACCCTTGCAGCTTCCTCGGCGTCAAGAGCCGAACAAAAACCTGCAGATTAAATCACGCGTTAGAACTACAACCAAAAATTAGAAATCTTGCTAATAGGTAGAAGGAAAAGCATGACTAGTTATTATCCTTATGGGTGTTCATTGGGACTCCCCAGGACCGAGGAATGCGAGGAACATCGCTAGGTACTCTTGATAATTTCTAGGACTCACCCTCAACAAAGAAGTACCTCGGTTTTCACCCCTTGTTGGAGGACAAGAGCCCAAATTTTAAACTCTTCGCCTTCACCCGCTTAGCAAAATATACCCATTGAATGAGAAGAGTTAAGCTAGAAAATGGAGATGAACTCATGAATCGTAGGTGGAGAGTATTTCTGCTCTCAAACTAATAAATAAGGAAGCCAACCAATAAACCCTAGTTATTTGGAGACAGTCGAGCTGGACAAACAATATAGAAGGCTAGAATGTCTCAAATAAAGGGATGAACAAGAAACTGAAGGCCAACACGATAGGCCGACTCAAAGAAATAGGTCATCTAAGGAATGTTAAAGTTGCACCTCTCATCTTCCTTAGGAGAATGGAGTAAAACAGACTAAGAAAATGAATAATATTCCCTCAGATCCACCAAATTCTCCTTGTCGAGATGACTTAAGGTCGACTCAATGCAACACATGAGGTTAGAGAGATCCGGACGAGTCTTTATCTTCTTAGCTTTAGAAGTAGAAGCACCCCCTAGATTTTTTCTTCCAAAAAGGAGCCTTTCCTAAAGAGATCAAGCTCAAGGCCCGGGCCCATGGCCTCTTGAATTGGCTCCCTAGGAAGGAATTCAAAATTTTCTGCTAAAGATGTGGAAAACTGGTCGTCCCTAACTAAAACATCACCAGTAGTGGGAACTTCCGCCCTATCCATGGGAGAGGACGTCGCCTCTTCGGAATAGCCACTAGAAGAAGCCGTCAAGACTTCTTCAGTGCCTTTATCCTCGAATTCAGAGTCAAAAACCACCCTCCCCATGATTGGCCCAAATTGGAGTTCAAAGTGCAAAGCAAAGTTCGTTAATAACAGAGGAGTCAAACACCAAGTCCTAAATAAGAATAACCTTAGCAGTAGGGGATAATCTACAAATTGAGAAAAGGATGCAAAATTTCTAGAACAATTCCAAAAGCAACTAAATCTCCAAATAAGGAAACGGAACCCGAAATCCTACCAGGGATGGTTGAAGGCATCCAGATCGAAGAAAAATAAAAAGAAAGAAGAAACGTACCTAACCAGAAGCTAGAATTGGATCGCAAAGGAACAAAAAACGCAGGACCCTAGAGTCACCAAGAACTTAGAACAGCTACTTCAAAAAAAAAGAAAAAGGAAGAGGAAACACGAGAAGGAAGAGATTCAAAATGCAAATAGGAAAGATCAAGATTTTTTTCCCTTTTATACGCAACATTGATTACCACGATAGGACATGGAGAGGAACATGCAAAAAATCCGCTTTATGAGATCGTCCTACAGGTGACACGTGTCCCCAAACGAGCACGTCTATCCCATCGAAGCCAGCACGAATTAACCAAACATGTCCTAAGGCAGCACTAATGATCAAGTGAAACTGCCATCCATGGAAGCAATCATGGCCCTAAAAAAAATGTATTTAACCCAGGCGAAAGCTTGACGTCATCCTCGTGACCTGGGTCTGAGGGGCAATTGATAATAGTTTGGGTTGGACTACCCATTCTAAACCCAAAATATCTAATGGGCCCAACGGTCTCATAACAGCCCAAGAGACCCCTCCACAACCCATCTACTCCTCAATAAGGAATGAGTGATAATCCAAAGGAGGGAGCCCAACAAAGAGTCCATCTTGGCACAATCCTACTCGGTTACAACAAGCTTAGCGGTAAATAGCCCGGGAGCAAGGAGCTTGATATTCACCAGACCCCAAATACCCCACATCACTCCACACGTCCAGGGGATCAAGGGACAACTTCTAGAGCCTCTAACAAACGTGTACTCACTAGTAAAAGGAATATTTGTGCACATTCCATTGAAAGACCATGGATATGGTTTGTGTCAGGTAACAATCGCCACTACAAGAAAAAAAGTAGGGGACCACAAAATCAGCCGAAGGAAGAAAAAGATTGTAGAAAACCATAGATAACCGCTTGTATAAATAGAATACCATGACACTATGTAAAATCTATTTGAAAAACCTCTACTCACAAGGCGTTGATCAGTAAAGCTCTAAGTTAATAAACCCACTGTAATCTTCTTCTTCAAGTAATATAAACCCTACGAAGCAAAAACCTTCATTACAGTGGACGTAGCACTGGTCTTTCGACTAGGATGAACCATTTATATATTGTCTTTAATCTCAGACATTTTCTCTGTTAGCTTAGAACATTCATACTACTCCTCCCCATCTTGTGAACCACTGATCTAGACTTGGACTGAGTATTTTCGAGCACCATCACTATTGATTAAATAGAATATGTTAGTGAAATTTGGATACAATAAGCAAGATGAATAATTATTAATTGAAAAAATAAAAAATCTTATTTAAAATTATCGCTTTAGGCCCAAAATTATCTCGAGTCGGTCCTGATTCACAACCCCATCTATTGCATTGCAACCCCATTAGTGAAAAAAAATACCCTATTTATATATCTATTCCATTATTGATTAAGTTCACCTGATCTTCACACACACTCCATCACTGATTAAGTCCACCGTTGTTACCACCATGAAAATCGTCACCCCACTACTGTCGCCATTGCCGCCAAGATAAGGATCAAAGAATAATACCAGTTTGAAACTCACTAGTTTTTACTATTGATCAATAGTTTTGATTAAGAAAAGCACATTGTATTAATCCAATTGAAGATTCATATTAAACTATTGAGTTAGTGGCTCTAATCTCCTATTGTTGTCGTTTGGTTGAACACTTTATTTTTCTAATAGATCCACCTCAAACAAAAATTTGAAAAATACAACACATTATCACACTCCTATGTAGTTTGGGTTAATTAGGATTGTGCAGGATGATTCTAGCACAATGAATAAAATGACAAATCTCTCCCCTGGTGAGCTCAAGTTTGCCTGAGAAGTAGAGTGTTCCACAGCGAATGGCTATTGAAAAAACGTAATAAGCGGTGATAGAACTCTCTACAAATGATCTACTCACGCGTTAGTTCTTGAACAGAATCTTGTCACTAAAAAAAAGAAGGGTACTGGAGTATTTTTCGGCTTGACCCTTCCGACGATCAAGTCAGTATTTGAGAGAGGGTTCGAAACATTATCCTACTACTTGAGTAAAAGGTTGCATACTTGAGACTTGAGTTTGAGAGTGTTATTTATACCTCCTAGAAGCTAATCATTGCGGACAACTGGGTCCCTTAGAGGGAGGACCCCTGATTGGTTCACAAGGAGGGCAATATATGATGCACAAGCCTCGAGCAGAGTGCCTTCATTTTTACGTGGTAGAAGCTTCTGCATTTAATTCTCGGATCCCCGAACATTTAATGCTCATTTTTTTTGACTTTGTCGAGCAATAAATATATCTCATCCTTCTGTAGGGTCATTTTATGCACCCTAGAGGAATTAAATTAAATCCTCGAACATTTAATGCACGCGCGGGGGCATTTTCGTTAATCACCCTCTAGGAGGTCAGGCCTTAAATGATTTGTACTCTGTACGCCCTTATCATTGGTTGCTGAACTTTCTCCCGTGCCATTCTAATTGCCTTGGAAAAGGGGATCGATGATTGATAGCGAACCACGCTTCCAAGTCACGATGCCCTGTTTTACCTCGATCATGGGTATGTTGGATCAGCTGACATTCTCCTTTTTCCTTATGAATCTGACCTCATCATTTGGCAGGGACTAACCGTCAAGACAATTGTTCACACCTCGCCGACGTGAATGGCTTGATGCTGAGGACACGTGTTAAGCAAAGGACGCTTCAGGGACATTCGTGCCGAGGACAAGTGTTATTCAAAGGACGCTCTGAGGGCATACACGCCAAGGACACGCATCACACGAAGGACACTCCAGGGACATTCACGATGAGGACACATGTCACACAGGGGACGCCCCCCCACCCCAGATTAGGGTGTCAAGGACACGTGTCACTCAAGAGATGCTCTGAGGGCATACATGCCAAGGACACATATCGCTTTCTCATAAAACTATGGAAATGTCCCATCAAGGATCCTTTCTATTAATACATTACCTCACTTTGTGAAATTCATTGAAATACATCAGTGGCAAGCTAGTAGTGATTGTGGAGGTGGAACAATGGTGGTGGTGAAGTAGTGGGACCTTATTGTTGGGGGGTGATGTTGGTTGTGGTATTGTGATTTGACAGTGATGTGTTTTGGTTACTTATTTACGGGTTAATGCGTGGCAACTTTGCTCATTAATGAAGTGGATATAAAATGGGACGAATGTACATGAGATATGCTTGATCACTTAATTGGATAGCCAGACAATGTCGTGGATTAATACATTAATTGGTGCGAATAGATGAGGTATACTTAGTAATTTATTGTTAAGAGATCAATTTCATCTTAATTTGTTTACCCAAGAGGCATTAAGCTCTGTTGAAGCACTCAACTAATCTTTCAGAGTACATGCGAACCCACTTGTCCCAGGTATGCTAGGTAATTATTATAGGGATAAATTCATAGATTGATCTTAAATGAAAACTCGAACTCAGGATTATAAATTTTGTAGAATGGGCTTTCCCTTTGCTTCTTGTATAGCTATTGAGAAGGCACAAGGTTGACATCTAAAGTATAATGCCCAACTTTGATAATCAACTCCAGTGGAAAAGTGTCACTTGATCATTTTCATGTGCTTGAATTGTTGAAGGGAATATATTACTATCACTATGGTCACCATTTTAAGGATTTGAAGAGGTGGGATGGCTGAACAACTTCTGAAGTCATTCTTTGATGAGTATGCTATAGGGGATAGTGGGCACATTAACCATCTAAATATCCATATTAGGGATTGAAATCCCCTTCATTAAACTTCTTCTCAATTTCATTTAATGATAGATCATCCATAGCCTAGAAATAAGGGACCCACTAATAAAGGGCGGGTTCCATGTGTATTAATAGTAGATGTTGAGTAAAAGCAAGCTCTGGTCGACCCAGACAGTAGGGGTTAACAATGACTATCTCAAATAAAGTTGTTTATTAAACTTTTAATAATGTTGCTTGCATTAACTCTTGGGTTAGAAAGAAATGAAATGTCTTAAGTCTCATAAGATCAAACATCTTCCAAGACATTTCATGCAAAAGAAATTGATCATGAATCTCGAATGAAAAATTGTTCATCAAAACTATGAACCAGGACTATATTTTAGTCACTTCCCAGCCCATAGGAATACATAACTCGGCCATTTAGGAAAGACCTCGAGGAGATGACTAATTATGCATAACCGGGTTTTCTTTGCAAGATTGAGGGCATCAATCAACTGTGAACAAACTTACGATTAGAGTTGGTTTACTGGTGTTTGGTGTCATCATCTTGCATTGTGAATCTATGCCAGTGATTATTCACAAGAAATTAGTATCAAGAAAATTTGTCAAGAGAACAAAGGTGTGATTTTGGAACTCTAACTTCCTTTACTGGTTTCTAATTCCCGAATAATATACCTGGGCTGAGATTGGTGAGCCGCTGTGTGCCGCTGTGTTGAACGCCGTTGGTGTCGCTGCTGTGTTGATCGCCATCGCCACTGTGTGCCGCTGCTNATTTGTTCCTCTAATACATATTGCACTTCTCAAAAAAAAAAAATGGGAAACTTCCCTTCCAAAAATAAAAAAGGATCCAGTGAAAGGCTTCCAAGAAATATTTTCAGAGGTATCAGCATGAACAATCTCATAAAACTGGAAAGAAGGATCAAAAGAAAGTATATAATAAAGAAAAACAGATAGAATTAAGAAAACACCACCTGGGCTAACACTTGTAAATGAAGTAAGTTGTGGATGCTACTCCAAACTAGCAATGAACTGTAAAGGGCTCACCTAAATGTCCTCAACATAGTATTTTAATAAGCTCCAGATTATACTAATTAAAAACAGAGAGATGGAGATGAAAATTCCATTTATAAAATTCATGAGAGTTACTTTTGAGACACATCGTGATTTTATTGAAGTAAACAGGCAAGTTTAATTAGGGTCATGTAAAGTTTTCTCTTTCGTTCTTTCAGTAAATGAGAGAAAAAAGGCAAGAAAACAAAGATATCTTTTTCTAGCTTAAGGTGCTTTAAATTGTTCATTAGTAATGCACTGAAAAGTAACATCAAGGTGAGAACAAAATGTCCACTTGGATAGATTGTTTTCATCACACAGGAAAGTTTCTCTTCGTTTAATACACATCTAAAAGAGCCAAATGCAATTCAAGTGAACTCCTATAAATAATGTTGATGAATAAAAAAGAACTATTCAACCTCAAAGGGCAGAGGTGTTGGGAATTTCTCAAAAAACCTAACCCCAACAAATCAAATTAAATGAGATCCATATGAAATATTACTCAAACAAACAGAAATTAAATTTACACGAAACAAAGGGTGAAATAAAATACAAGTATTTCCAACTATTTATATGCAATGATAACAATCACATAACTGAAGCCATTACAAGGGATTATAGAACAGAGATGCCATGTACTTGGAAAAATTAGAGCAAACTACCCTCTATTTTTTAGTCTTTGGTGACAAGTATGAGAACAATTAATTTCATGTAGATCCTACTTCAACTTGTTAGGTCTGAAATTGTTCACATTGTTGGAAGTTGGATTTATTGAATCTCCCAAACTTTCTCGGTCTTTTTATCAATGTTTTCAGAAAACATTCCGATAGAACTGGCATTCTTTGTCTATAATTTTAAGCAAATTGAACTGACCTCATAGTTCAACTTTTGAGTCGTATATTACGAAGGCACCAGTTGAAGGGGGCGATAGTTAATGTTTTTTTCCAGCTATTAGCCCTATTTATTATCTATACATATGGTAACTCACTCATATCATTTTGAATGATCCAACATATAGATGTGTTCTAGATGCTTCAAAGAGGCTCATTACCAGAATTGTCAAAAATTGAGAACTAATTATACGTTAGCAAAGGAAACAAAAGATTTCTTGAAGCTTCTTAATCACAATCATTGAACACACAGTTCACTTTTGATAAAAAAAAAAAACACAGTTCACATATCAACTATTACAACAATGCAGCAGTGCAACAGGAGTCAGGAGGCATGCCATCTGAAATCTTCTGTAACATGACTATCGAATGGCAAGCTTACACTGGCAAATTTAAAAGCAGAAAGGTTTAAAACAAACCTTAGACATAAGAAAGCAGCAGTTTGAAGTAGATAATGATATACACTGAAAGGGAGCACACAGCAAACACATGCTGCCAGAAGAGGAGTGCTGATGCTTCGCTAACTGCATAACCTCTCAAGCTAGCAACTGCTCCCAACAATATGGCGCTTGGTGTTGTGTATTGCAACAAAAGCACGAACCGATACATTTGATCCCCATGGATCAAAAAGTTCAGTCTATCAGCCAAACAAACCACCCCTATTCCAATCAAAGGAAGTATCAGAAGTCTTGCAATGATGATGCCAATTGTAGTTCGAAGCCCTAGTCTAGATTCATTGGGACCCTCAGCAAGCATTCCTCCAAGAATTAGCATTACTGAAGGCACCATTGCTCCAGCCACAATGTCTAAACTATCGGTGATAAATGAAAGTGGTGCATCATCGCCATAAACAACCCTTTTGAGGAAAGGGACTATTCCAATAATGATGGCCAACAGGGTAGCAAATGTGGGAGGCTGAAGGATATGAAGGATAGGCGTTTTCTCAGCAACAATTCGTATCCTTCTAACCATCCTGGGCTCTGCCAAGCACCTAATAGATTTGGGACTCCTTGGACCTCCCTCTTCCAGTGAATCAGGGTCAGGTACAGAACTTTGTGAAATGCTAGAGACACTAGTAAAGACCCTTGCAATAATTGGCGTCTTGCAATGCTCAGTTTCTTTATCTTCCATTCCAGGCCATTCAGCTTCCACAAGAAGTGGCCTACTGAGATTGNACACAGTTCACATATCAACTATTACAACAATGCAGCAGTGCAACAGGAGTCAGGAGGCATGCCATCTGAAATCTTCTGTAACATGACTATCGAATGGCAAGCTTACACTGGCAAATTTAAAAGCAGAAAGGTTTAAAACAAACCTTAGACATAAGAAAGCAGCAGTNTGCAACAGGAGTCAGGAGGCATGCCATCTGAAATCTTCTGTAACATGACTATCGAATGGCAAGCTTACATTGGCAAATTTAAAAGCAGAAAGGTTTAAAACAAACCTTAGACATAAGAAAGCAGCAGTTTGAAGTAGATAATGATATACACTGAAAGGGAGCACACAGCAAACACATGCTGCCAGAAGAGGAGTGCTGATGCTTCGCTAACTGCATAACCTCTCAAGCTAGCAACTGCTCCCAACAATATGGCGCTTGGTGTTGTGTATTGCAACAAAAGCACGAACCGATACATTTGATCCCCATGGATCAAAAAGTTCAGTCTATCAGCCAAACAAACCACCCCTATTCCAATCAAAGGAAGTATCAGAAGTCTTGCAATGATGATGCCAATTGTAGTTCGAAGCCCTAGTCTAGATTCATTGGGACCCTCAGCAAGCATTCCTCCAAGAATTAGCATTACTGAAGGCACCATTGCTCCAGCCACAATGTCTAAACTATCGGTGATAAATGAAAGTGGTGCATCATCGCCATAAACAACCCTTTTGAGGAAAGGGACTATTCCAATAATGATGGCCAACAGGGTAGCAAATGTGGGAGGCTGAAGGATATGAAGGATAGGCGTTTTCTCAGCAACAATTCGTATCCTTCTAACCATCCTGGGCTCTGCCAAGCACCTAATAGATTTGGGACTCCTTGGACCTCCCTCTTCCAGTGAATCAGGGTCAGGTACAGAACTTTGTGAAATGCTAGAGACACTAGTAAAGACCCTTGCAATAATTGGCGTCTTGCAATGCTCAGTTTCTTTATCTTCCATTCCAGGCCATTCAGCTTCCACAAGAAGTGGCCTACTGAGATTGTCTACCGATAATTGTTCCTGAATCTCAAAACCTTCCTCCTCAACCACCTCGTAATACTCTAACGGGGGCTCCATCATGTGATAAACAAGGGTATAAACAAGAAGAACAGCAACCCATTGGGCAAAAGAAACATAAGCAATACCAGTCCTATGGCATTCTGGACCAAAAGGATTATCTGTGCTATGGCACACGGACCCAACAATAGCTAGGGGCAGACTGCCAGTGTTACTAAAGGCCGTCACAATTACAGTGAATCTGATGAATTCAGGAGGTGGTCGGCATATTATTGCGACCAAGAACCCCAACACACAACCAATAGCAGTACTGAGGATCACATTTACGGGTATGAACCACCAATCGATGAAATTTTGTAGAGTAATGGATTCACCGAGGTGAATGAAGATCGTACAAGGCAAGAAGAGAGCAAAAACAAGCTTGCTAAGAAGCTTAAAAGTGGCTCTCGGGACAATTTGGGTTTTGGGGTGGGCAAGAATCAGACCAATGACAGTGAGAGAGAGGAGTTTCAACAATGGTAGAACAGCACTTAGAAGAATTTCCTTTCCAGAATTCACACTTCCTACACTCATGGCAGAGAGGAATTCCATGATCAAATAGGAAACCACAAGATACTTGTAGGAATTTGACAAACCAATTCTAAGCCCAAGAAATTGAAATCTTAGTTCAAGCTTTACACTTTAGAACATGGGCTTTTACAGAAATTCCCATATTACAGAACTAAAGCAACAAAATTAAATTCGGAATACCTTAGTAGACATGCACCAGGGGAACTAATTCGATCCTAAAATGGAATAGTGTTAATCTTTCACCAAATCACTCTTAAAACATACGGCCTGGCCTGGTAATTGGTTTTCTTTGACGACAGATTAGTTAGACACACACGTAACAAACTTGTTGGAAACCAAGAAATACGCAGAACTAGAAACGAAAATCATTCAACAACCCAAAATTTACAAGCTACTACAACATTTTTTACAGGATTTATGCATATAATACACACAACATAGCAACATAACTGAAAGGAAACTTTCTTACCTAAATTTCTTAAATAAGAGGTAAATATAAGGATCCACGAGACAGAGAGAGACGATGGGAGATTCGCAGAGGATCACTGAGAGATGTTTTTTTAAGTCAAAAATGGTTGATACTCAGATGAAAAAAATAAGGGTCCGTCTAAGGTACCGACAGTAACTTTTCGGTATGCTACCCAAAAAAACAAAATTTATTGTAGATGTACGATAAATAACTTTTAACCGTTCATCCCAAGTCTCTCACATTTTAGTTTTTACCGCCTACCCAGTAAACCTTACAAATTTATAAATAAAAAAAAAATTCAGACGGAGAAGAAGATGGAGTTGCAGATCTTTTTTATCCTGGGAACCATTTAAGAGATTATAAAAATAATTATTATTTTTTAACTAAGATTGAGATTATAGTAAACTTATATGTAATAAAAAATAAATACACTTATAACACTTTTTAAAATAAAGCTAGAGGGGTAAGGTTTCAGGGTAATTGGGGTTTGATTAGTAAGAATATTATGAAAGGTTACCATTTTTTTTATAAGATTATCACTTTTTTTTGGCAAGATTATCATTTTTTTTTACCATTTTTAGGAAAGATTACAACTTTCGAGGGTAAGATTATACTGTTGAGGTAAGATTATCACTTCTTTGATTAACATTACAATTTTTTTTATTAAGATTACCATTTTTTTGATTAAGATTACACTATTAAGATAAGAGTATCACTTTTCTTATTAATATTATTATTTTTTTTGTTAACATTACCTCTTTTTTGGTTAAAAATACCATTTTTTTTTTTTTAACATTACCATTTTTTTTGTTATCATTTTCATTTATTAGGTTAACATTACCATTTTTTTTTGTTAACATTACAATTTTTCTTTTGTTAACATTATCATTTTTTTTTTGTTAACATTACAACTTTTTTGGTTAAGATTACTCTCTTGAGGTAAGAGTACTATTTTTTTTTTTGTTAACATTATTATTTTTTTGGACAAGATTGTCACTATTTTTTTGTAAGATTACCATTTTTTAAGGAAGATTGTCACTTTTTAAGGGCAAAATTATCACTGTTGATGTAATAGTACCATTTTTTTTTTGTTAATATTATTATTTTTTTTTATTAACATTACCATTTTTTTTTGTTAACATTACCACTTTTTAGTTAAGAGTACTATTTTTTTTTTTTGTTAATATTACCATATTTTAGGCAAAATTGTCACTATTTTTTTTTAAAATTACTATTTTTTAGGGAAGATTATCACTTTTTAAGGGCAAAATTATCACTGTTGATGTAATAGTACCATTTTTTTAGTCAACATTACCACTTTTTGAGGGCCGATCAAGTGTTGGTTACTGATCAAGAACACCGAATTAATCACAACCGATCAAGTGTTGGGTAATGATCAAGAGTAGCGATCATGTGAAGATCTAATGTGGATCGGTCATGATTGGTTGTAGCAATCAAGTTAGCGATCACGTAGGGATCTAATGTGGATCGGTCGTTGTTGGTTGTAGCAATCAAGTTTGCGATCATGTTCAAAATAAATTTCACTTATATCCCTAAATTATCACTCTTTTTCAATGTTTTTCTCATATTTTTCATATTACACCCTCAACTATGTAATTAGTTTCATATTACCCCAAATGTTTTACCTAATTTAATTTAACACCAATAGGTATCAACTTAACACCCAAATATGATAACTTTTGTTGTAATGTATTTAGTGGTGAAAAACTTTGTTGTATTTAATTTATCAAATTAACACCAATTTAATTTTTCTTCCAATTTATATTTAATTTATCAAATTAACACCAAATTAATATTTAATTTATTAAATTAAGATTCACTTTCATCTAATAAACATTCAACTCATCAAACTAACATTCATATTCATCCAATTAAAACTCAATTTAACAAATTAATATTTGAAATAATCCAATAAAGATTCAATTGATCAAACAAACACTAAAGTAACATGAAATTTCATCTAATTAATATTTAATCCATCAAACTAACAAAAAATTAACATTCAATTTCATTGATTAAATATTCATTTTATTAAATTAATATTCAAATTCAACTAGTTACATTAAATTAATCAAATTAATTTTTAATTTCATTCAATTAGTACTCAATTCATTGAATTAACTTTCTAAATCAAACAATAAAGATTCAATTTATTAAATTAATACCAAAGTAACATAAAATTTCATGTCATTAATATTCAATTCATCAATTTAACACAAAATTGACATTCAATTTTCATCCAATTAACATTCAATTTTATCTAATAGGCATTTAATTCATTAAATTAACATTCAAATTCAACTAGTAAACATTAAATTAATCAAATTAATGTCAAATTAACATTCACTTCATCTAATTTATATTCAAATTTATCCAATCAACACTCATTTAATCAAATTAATGTCTAAATTTATTTAATAAATATTCAAATTATCAAATCCACACCAAAGCAATATGCAATTTCATCCAATTAAAATTTAATTTATGAAACTAACATTCAAGTAATCAAATTAATATTCAATTCATGAGATTAACACCAAATGAACATTCAATTTATCTAATTAACATTCAATTTTTTTAATAAACAATTAATTCATTAAATTAACAGTTAAATTCAACTAGTTATCAATAAATTAATAAAATAAACTTTTAATTTCATTGAATTAACATTTCAAATTAAACAATAAAGATTCAATTTATCAAATTAACACCAAAGTAACATACAATTTCATCTAATTAATATTCAATCCATCAATTTAACATCAAATTAACATTCAATTTTATCTAATAAACAATTAATTCATTAAATCAACAAGCTAATTCAACAAGTTAACAATAAATTACTCAAATTAATATTGAATTCATCTAATTTACATTAAAATTCATCGAATTAACACCAAATTAATCAAATTAACATCCAAAATTATTTTAAAAATATTTAATTTATCAAATCAACATCAAAGTAACATGTAATTTTATTCAATTAATATTTAATTTGTCAAATTAATATCAAATTAACATTCAATTCATTAAATTAACACAAAATTAACAATCAATTTCATCTAATTAATATTTAATTTTTACTAATAAACATTTAATTCATTAAATTAACATTCAAAAATGACTAGTTAACATTAAATTAATCAAACAAGCTTTTAAATTCATTCAATTAACACTAAATACATTCAGTTAACTTTCCAAATCAAACAGTAAAGATTCAATTTATCAACAAACAATCTCATCTAATTAGAAATCAATTCATCAATTCAACAACAAAGTAACATATAATTTTATCTAATTAATATTTAATTCATTAAATTAACACCAAATTAACATTTAATTTTATCTAATAAGCATTTAATTCATTAAATTAACATTCAAATTTAACTAGTTAACATTAAATTAATCAAATTAACGCCAAATACATGTTCAATTCATCTAATTTATATTCAAATTCACATTCATATTCAATTTATCAAATTAATATTCAATTCATCAGATTAACACCAAATTGGTATTCACTCCAACTAATTTATGTTCAAATTTATTCAATCGACACTCATTTAATCAAATTAACGTCTAAAACTATTTAATAAATATATAATTTATAAAATTCACACCAAAGCAACATGCAATTTCATCCAATTAAAATTTAATTTATCAAATTAACATTGAATTCATCAAATTTATTCAATTCATCAGATTAACACCAAATGAACATTCAATTTCATCTAATTAACATCCAATTTTTTTAATAAACATTTAATTCATAAATTAACTTTTAAATTGAACTAGTTATCAATAAAGTAATCAAATTCACTTTCAATTTCATTCAATTAACATTTAACTCATTGAATTAACATTCCAAATCAAACAATAAAGATTCAATTTATCAAATTAACACCAAAGTAACATACAATTTCATCTAATTAATATTTAATTCATCAATTTAACACAAAATTGACATTCAATTTTCATCCAATTAATATTTAAATTTATCTAATAAACATTTAATTCATTAAATTAACATTCTTTTTTTTTTAGGAACCTCGACGGTACGAGAAAATTTATTAATTGTCCAGCGAAATTACACCTAGCGATTATGAGTCAAATAAAAAAAATAAAAAATAATGCATGCAATTACATCATAATGCATTTTAAAATAAAGAAAGGAAATTAATTAGACTCCTAAGTAGCTTGACATTCTGAAGTCTGGTGAGTGATAAAATCCCCAAGCTAAGAAGTCTCATCAAATCATCAAAGTCTTACTGCTTGAGAATTCAAAAGAGTCCATTCAATAATGATAATTGAACTCCTTCGCTAACTCTTGAAGTCCAGTTGATAAGAAAAAACGGATTGCTGGATAAGACGAGCTGAATGTTGCTGTGCTGATAAACGTTGAAGCTTTTATCTTGTTCCCAGAATCTAGCTGATATAAAAGACCAGCTAAATAGAGTCCATTATAGAGGAGAGGCAATAGAGATAAGCAAAAAATCCAGTTGATATGATCCATTTAACCAACAATATTATC